ATCTACTTACGCATATGTAAAGAGCAGGACTGTGGAATAAAAACTTACATTTATCAAAGTATTTATTTTTTGATCAGGTAGACAAAAAGAGAGAAAAGAAATATTAATTTACTATACCATCCTTGTTTCTTAGTGCAGTTGCCGACACAAGAGAGAGGTAAGACTGAATAATTCTCTCCCTAAGTCAAACAAGACTAGAATCCTGCAATCAAAGGTATTTACATACGATTTTGCTATCATACTGAAGAGCTCTTTAAGAAATAAAGTTTCACTCTTTACTTCTTGTTTAGTGCCAACATCACTTTCTCTATGAACCTTTAATCAAATTATATGGAAAACTCTCTTATCAAAGAGTCTCTCTTTGGATTTTTCATTACTTGTTTCTCCTTTTCTGTGAGAAGCCTAGAGGTGTGGTCTGAAAACTACCATTGCATTATATAATATCAACAGCCCTCAATTAACGAGCCATTGAATTCAGCTCAACATTTTCAATAAATAAGGTATATAACAACAACAAAGGTACATACAAAAGAGACATTTCTTTCCTGATCATATTGTTTTTAAATTAAACTGTTGAACCTTTTGCAGTGTTGTTCTTGGAATGTGAAAAATGATGTTGCACAGAAGTGACTTCTACAGAAAACAGAATCTACCTGGCAGATGTTTAAAAATCAACGTAATGGACTGTGGTGCTCAAGTATAGAATACCAAAGGAGCTGTCACTTCAGATTTTAATGCTGGTGCAAACACTTGTATATCTGATTGCACAATGAACTGCAGCTGGGTTTCCCCAAACCACCTTCTTGCTTCTTGATCTATTTGTTTCCTGTTTAAACCTCAACAGAACACACATTCCTCTAAAATCAATGAATGTTGTATTTCTGAGTAATATACTCTAGTAGAGCCTCCTAGACGAAACAAAAATTCTATATCATCCAGATCACACCCTGATTCTTGTTTCTTCCACTGACGAAATTTATACAATGATCCTTTAAATTCTTTTTTTTTTTTTACAGTTGCTGTGCACAAATATGTATATTACAGAAATGTACGAAGCAAGTACACTTAAGAGGCAATGATAGTGATCCTGTCATGGCCTTCCTTCTGCAACTAAGTGAAAGGATAATAGATTACATCCAATATTATGTAAGTAGACTTATAGTCTCACAATACTTGTCCCCCTTCTACTCGTAAAAATCATCATGTCCCCTAAAACCTGCTCCAGAGGATCACCACCAGAACTGATTTGGGTCTGTGTGTGGAGTGGGTGAGGATAATTCATTTTGCTAGTCAATGCCATACCACTGCTGGATGGGCACTACTGGATGGTAAGCCAATTATACTAAGAACAATTAGTATAGTATCTTTGCAAAATCAATCAATCAATCAATCAATCAATCAGATCTCACCAAATGTATAAACAATCTGAATGTAGTGAATGTAGACCAAATAGCCAAATTATACTCTGAATAAAGTACGAGTCATGAGTTAGCAAGAAAAGAGACAAGGGGAATTAAGAAACTGATTATGGATTCTTGCAGTTTCTAGATAAACATTTTTAGAAGTGGTACAGAATGTCTGTGGCTGACTCAAAGTTCTCCCTGTTGTAGAAAATACCTTGTGAAGTCCAATGTCTAGAACAAGAGTTTAGATTCTTATTAAACATATTACACTGCATTCTCAGGGGCTTTCAAAGAAAGGCTAATTCTAGAATCCATTAAAATATTTCAACCCTACAGGCTCACTAAACACATTTGAACAGAATAAAAAATTGCCTGGAAACCAATACTATACATATGCATGGCTTTTAATTGAAGCAAGAGTATTTAATTGTGATAAAATATTATAAGGCCACAAATTGCATCTTTGCTAATTTGTCAACCACATATACCAATTTAAACGTTTAATAAAGGAGTGCCTCTTTCTCACATCAATATTTTCCACTCCTAAACTATGCAGACACTCCATTTTGTTTCGCTAAAACTTTTTTTTCAGTGTAAAAAGTGAAGGCAAAATAATGGCTCATTAAAATGTGAAAGTACAATAATATATCATAATAATCTTTAAATTAGCATTTCAAAGCAGCTTTTGTGATTGGGAAGAAATTGGAAACACAGCACATGAAAACATATCAGATGGAATATTCAACCCCCTCGAGAGCAAAGGTGGTGGCAAACATGATTACATGGCTATAGCGAGAGATGGTGAATCACAAACAAAAACTCGTGTTATATACTTGAGAAGCTTAAATTTAAGCCAGTGCTCAGAACATACAAAGAGTAGTATGTTAATGTATTTGCTGCCTGTTGTAAAAGGACAACACGTCTTAGACTCTGTTCGCCTTTTTTCTAAATACTGCTACTGCATGAATACGCCAGTACGTATTGCGATATATAATAGAATCTACTTATCTTCAACAAGGGAAAACAAAACAGTATATATTACTGATATCATTTATTTTATATATAATATATTTATACCCAGAAGAAAACAAAGTTAAAAAAAATCTCAGCGATTGTGAGTGAAGTGTGCTAGTTTGCTGTGTGACACCATTTGCTGTGTATACATACATCTGAAAATTGAAAAAAATCACATTGATAATTTTAGAATAGTTTCTGGGTTGAAGTCAGTTTTGTATCTATAGTCAGAATGGTAAAGGTGATCTATTATGTTGACCACAATACAAGGAGTTGGAAACTCTAATTCACAGTGAGAGTAGCGTAACTTACAGAAACGCAGAACATTTCTCATTGCGCAGATACAGATATCCATATAATACCTGTTTATTAAAGTTGCAGAGAATCTTAGAACTAAGATAAGGAGATTACTGCTCTATGTTTTGATAGTAACATTATTCCCAAAGAGACTGTGATGAATTTAGGCTGGTGGATTTAAATATTTGACTAAGTAACTACTGTAACTCCTTCTTCCAGAGAAAAGATTGTAGGCAGGCGGTGCACAGCTTCCAATTACCTAGTTACCAGTTCCTGATAATTTGACAATCATCTTTCAAACTGGGTTATGACACAGAAGTACATTTTGCATGAGTGTGTAGAATAACTGGTGTGTGATAGATTTTTAAATCTTTGATTCTGTTTCCAGCTGAGTCCCTATTAGAGCCTTATAAAATATTGGACAAGTCTTTCTCATCCAAGGCAGAATCACCTTTTTAAACCTCGAGAGATTTTTCTAGGAAAGAGAAATCCATTCAGATCAGCTGCAGAATTGCCAACATGGATATGAGGTACCAGACCTTCCACATACCCTTCTTCCATTCTTCTCATTAGAGAATATTAAAGACTAACTCTACTGTATTTGTAATTTATAATATAGAATTAAATCATTTTACAACAAACTTTCCAAAAGCCAAAGTGTCCTATCAGAAGAGGGACCAAATGTAATGGATTTATGAAAGCTTGGCTACTTAGGGCATCATGTTTTATTCTCTGACATCAGACTAAAAACAAGATGTCCTATAAAGGCTTCTACAAATTGATATATAGCACAATCAATGCATTTTTTACAATATTTTTTGATTTGGCAACAAAATCAATATGAAAAGTGGAGTGCTATGAACTTTTCCTCAACTGTGTATTCATTTTAGATGTCCAATGACATACAGGTAGTCCTTGTTTAGCACTAAGTGAAACTGCGACTGTGTTTATGATCTTACTTCAGCTTTCCTTTGCTTTACAGACCTGCGATGGTCATAAAAGCGAAGATTGGTCATAAAGTTACTTTTTCATCTCTGTTGTAACTGCAAACAGAGGCAGTCGCTAAACGAGGATTACCTGTACTACCTGGGTAAGTTCAATAGCCCTTGTTTTGGTGCTATATTTGTAACACAGCACAGAAACAAAAGCAGAGTGTAGGGTAGAAGCGAAAATAGCACTGCTGTTCATAACTTAGGTCTTTGCATAAATTAGAAAACTATCTGCACCTAGGTAAGAAATGTCTTACTAAAAACAAATATGACATTAAAAAAAAAGCAAAAACCTAAAGACAGTGCTTTAGAGGTAATTCTGAAAACTAAACAACAGCCATGTTTTGTCTAATTTACATACTGCAGCATATAGTGCACAAGAGAGGAGGAAGAGGAGAAGGTGACATGTTTTTATTCCATGAAAGTAGGCTTTGAAGATTTGGGGTAGAGAAACTGTGATTGAGCTTTTACTTGGTAATAACAAGTTGTATTTAAACCGACCAGAATGAACACAATGATAAAATGGTCCTGTAGTTGCCTGCATGTTTCTTTGTTTGCTTAGGGGGCTTGGGACACAGATTGGTGGGTCTGAAATATAGGAAGAGAGTGAAAGAGATGAAAGGAAAGTTTGTTGCATAAATAGAAATTCTGTGACACACACATACTTCATACTTCAGATCCCCGTTTTTTATTTTTTTTTGGTTATTGTGTTCCCTCCCACACACACACACTTTACTGAAAACCAGGTCTGATGCGTAAAAAAGGATGCCACATATTTATATTCTTGGTACATTTAGTATGCCACACAGGACTTTCCAGGAAGCTAAGTATCATGTTTTGATCATGCATACTTAAAAAATGATATGATGACAAAACATTTTTTGAAGGCTAACGTTTAAACTAGCAAAATGAAAATCTCAAAGAATTATCCATTAAACAAAAGCTTTATGTGAGGAAATCAGCAGCTAGAGAAAACTATTGGAGTAATGTACTAATCCCCTTCCCCAGAACTACAGATCTACCATGAGGCCAAAATGATGAAAAATGCCTTTGGATGGAAGTACGTAAGTCCCATGGTTTATGCTGTGATGCACATTTCATCATTTGCCCCTTCACTCCCCTTATGGATGTCTATCTCCAATAATGTACTCTGGATATAAAGTTGCTTTACCAACGGCTACTATTTGAAAAGAAGTGTTAAGAAATTCCTGTCTAATTTGTCCTTAGTTTATTATGATTCAGTGAGTTACATTTTCTATGGTAAAATGAAAATACACAGTTCAATTTATTAGTTTACCTATTAAATGGCTTTGATTTGTTGAATCTGCGAGTGTATCTTCTGCATCCTCTTGAAAGTTTTCCCTTACTTCCTTGACCTGTATTGCATTAAAAAAGAAAACAATAAAAATCTCTTTCAAATATCTCTTTGGAAGAACACAAAACAAAAGCCAAATGATTTCAGAACACACGCACACACACACACACACACACACACACTTTATTTTTGTTCTTGTGTTATCACCTTAGTGAAAAAACCTTAATATAACTTCCAAATTATACACAGTAAGAATTTAGAGTCACTTCATCCTGTGACGAATGACTTCTAAATTGGTTCTAAATGCTTGAATAAAAGCAATATGATACAGCTATCAGAAACAAATTTTGAAGACATATAATTCTTGAAGGAAAAACATCTATAATTCATTTTTACAAAAGCAAAGAAATTGACTTACTGTAAATCTCATGAACACATATATTGCTCTCTCTGGAAATATCATGTGTCATGATATTCATTTATACTAATAGCAGGAGATGTTCATGAAAAGTGTGAGAAGACGTTCCTTCGTTCAGTGCTGATATTACTTAGCTCTTATGCCTGTAACTTCTGACATATTAAAAACCTTTCTCAGAGTGCAATACATTATTGTTATCAGCTGGGGTAGAACTAAATATAAACAGTGGTTTATGCAGTCCCCATATCCCACTCCCCCATGTATACATTAAGCTCCATTTTAGGTTAATCAATTTGGGGATAAGTCCCAGAACTACTGGGATAGAATGTCTGGTTTAGCTCCAGGTGGACCATTTGTGGAAGAACGATAATGAAATAGAATAAATGATTTCCATTGTAGTTGTGTTTCACTGTCTTTGAGTCATACAAAGTTGGACTATTTACTTGCCCACCTTATATGACACTTAGTTAAACAGTGCCTTAAGTGTACATGAAAAATATAATTCTCTTTGTAGCCATGGCAACTGCTTGGGACCAACTAATGAATACTACAGTCTAATGCACCCACAACTCACAAGCATCAGTGGGATGGGTCAACTCTGTGTTAGGGCAGAACATCTTCATTACTTCTGACCCTTTCCTGTGCACAAACATACACAGGTGTCCCATGATGCTGTCTTATCCAGTTGTGAGACAGGGTAGTAGGACACCCATAATAAAGATAGGATAGTAGAATATCTGTATTAATGGCAAACAATGGGCTTAATTGTTGTTAAAGGAATATGTAACTGCATGTGTACACTCTTACACACAAATTTCCACAATTGCCACATAACACCATTCTGTCTTGTATAGTCTATATTCATCCATTTAACAAGATCCTAAGCCTTTAATTAACCCATTGAAAAAGAATTAATGCTACAGTATATCAAAAATACAGAGTTTGAAAACCCACTGCAAGGCACATTAAAGTTAAGTAGTCATTTTCCTTTATTCCAAATAGTTTAACAAGCTAATGCTAGTTGCTTTATTGATTGATTTTTATTTTTTTAAAAAATCAGTATTTTAAAATTGCACAAAGCAGTAGCATATGTAATCCAGTCTTCAAACAGTATGTTCTAACAGTATTTTGATTTTTAACTTAGTAAAGTACTGTTTGGAAAAGGGAATAAATAAAGCCTTTTCAGCCTAATTTGTCTTTATAGGAAAGAAAGAAAGAAAAAAAACAGCACTTCTTCACTGTATATATTCAGAACCATCTTTATTCTTGCCCAATAAAATGAAGTGTGTTTCTTGAAGATATAACTAAAGACCTAAATGGCTATTATTGCTACAATCGCAAAGACCCCACTAAAGGAGACAAAATGTTTTTAAATTACTGTGCCATTAAACAATAATAAGAAAGTTTTAAAGGAAATGGTAAAATTGGCTTGCTTTTTTTTTAAACCCCCCCCCCCCATTCCTTTCTGTACAGTGAAGATATACCCTAAGCTGTCAGCACCATGTTAAATGGGGCATAGTTAAATTGAGTGGCTGTGATAAGGGGCTCTGCTTTGTTATCAAAGTTCTAGATCAGCTGGATTGAATTTCCTGCATATTGCACATTTCCAGACTTCCATTCTTTCTATTCCTTTCACTGACATTGCAAGGGCAGACTTAGATATGCTTATAATTTGTGGTTTTATAATGCAGGGGACATCTACATTTTCAAAGAAAAGATGATACTACAGAAGCTACAGGCTTAAAAAAAAGGCAGAGTGAAGGAGAAAAAAGGTTTTGTAACACATGCACATACATATACATAAGTCTTGGAAATGTTCTTAAGGAATGACCTTGCACATCTTCCAGGAAAGGCTTTATTTACATGAAAGTAGATTAAAATATGCATACATTATTCTGAAGTGGATAGTTCTAACCTTAAGCATCAGGTGGGACTTCTACATTATGTTTTACCTTTGCACTATATATCTGAGAAATGGGTTCATATTTCAAACTTTGTCAAGGGTAGGATCCCCCCCCCCCCCCCCCCCC